GAACGCTTCGCTTAGTAAATCTGATTAGTAAATCTAATTAGTAAATCTAATTAGTAAATCTGATTAATAAATGCTGTACGAAAAGAAACCTTGCATGCTACACGTCCCTTTGCTACGCGTGCTTAGCTCGGCTATAGCTCGGCTATAGCACGTGCTTTACTATACGTAATCTGATTAGTAAATCTGATTAATAAATCTAATTAGTAAATCTGATTAATAAATGCTGCACAGAAAGAATTAACGTACTTAAGGCTGCTATACGTAATTTACGTAAGGCTGCCACACGTAACTTACGTAAAGCTGCTATACGTAACCTACGTAAGGCTACCATACGTAACCTACGTAAGGCTGCCACACGTAACCCACGTAAGGCTGCCATACGTAACCTACGTAAGGCTGCTACACTTAACGTACCTAAGGCTGCCACACGTAAACTACGTAAGGCTGCTATACGTAACCTACGTAAGGCTGCTACACCTAACGTACTTAAGGCTGCTATAGCTCGGCTATAGCTCGGCTATAGCACGTGCTTTACCGTACGTAATCTGATTAGTAAATCTGATTAGTAAATCTGATTAGTAAATGCTGCACAAAAAGAATTAACGTACTTAAGGTGTGACGACCTTAAGCGATTACCTGAAGGAACTCACGGGAGCGCGGGGTTCATATAGGAGCTCAAAAGAATCTTAAAGTAATGACTTAGAATCAATAATTACCGAGTGTAAAGGTTGAAGGTAGCTAAGGTTTATATACACGAAGGTAGAAGCGCTAAAGACTCGTGAACTATGGTTCATAAGTCAAAAGCGGGGAATAAAAGAATACGAAGAATACGAAGGAAAAAAAGAAAGAAATAGCTTAGCGTATGTAAAGTGCGTCTAAGAGACTTAGCGTATCGTCATACTACTTTTCCGTCCGAAAAAAGCTCGTCCTTGAGCGTCTATTTATTGCCTTATCACTACTCAAGTAATCGTAATTATTAATACCGTTCGAATAAGCTTTGATCTAGTCGAGGAGCTTCGCGGGAGGGCCGAGGAGCTCTTTGTGTTTTAAGTAGAAGTTACGTACTTTAAAAGGAGCGTATATAAAATCGGAAGCGGGGTACTAAGTAAAGTTAATGTCGCGGCCGAGCTAAGAAGCGCGGTACTTAAAGTGCTTCTTAGTTTAGCGTACGGCTAAAATGTTTTTTACTTCGTACTTAAGTTCGCTAGTGATATTAATCGAGTCAGGTTCAAGAATGATTTGCTCGAAGGTAAGGTTATTAAGAGCTTTTCGTAGTCGTCCGAAGTAGAAGATTAAGTGAACCTTTATTGACTCGAAGAGCTTGAGTTTGAAGCTATTGTAAACGTTATCGGTAACCTCGAACGGTCCGTTCGTCGAGTTATCGAGCTTCTTTAACGGTCGAAAGGTAAGGAACGGGCGCATGTCTAATCAAACCTTATTATTAACGTCGAAGTTAACCGAGCGCTTTGATTTATTAGCTTGCTTAGCTATGCGGTTTTAGGCGCGCTAGAAGTGCTCTTTAGCGAGGTTTTAAGCTTCGAAGTGGCGGTTGGCGTAAGCGCGAGCTTCGTCTTAGTTAAGCTTGCGAGAAAGGGTTTAGTCGTTAAGTCGTTTTAAGCTTTAATTTCAAGTGGTCCGAAGGGCGTAGCCGTAAATTATTTTAAAAGAAAAGAGATCGCCGAAAGAGTCGTAAGGGAGCGTTAATTAAGCGAAGTCTATT